GTTCTTAGAGTTGATATGGCTCTATTGGACCTTCAATTACTTCAAACCGTTCAGACCCCCCAGGAAAGTTGTCTTTCCCTTGATAGATAAAGGGAGCAACCTCTGCAATTGACAGTTAGTGCCCCGGGCTAGGGCACAACCGGGCTGGGGCACTGTCAGGCTATCGGGCACGTACTGTCACCTGGAATTAATGTTTAAGAGTCATCAGAAAATTTAGTTTTAATGTTCAAAGTGTAACTTTGATGTATTCTGATTGAATTTTCTCTAAAAAGTCAGTAGAAATGTCAACTTTTATTTTAAAGAAACAATACAAGTAACATATTTTGCCTTGACAGTAAAAAAAAAATATAATCTTGGAGCTAATATCCCAAAATAATTACAGTTGTACTTTGTTGAATGTCTAAAAAAAAAAAATCACAGTTTTGTCAAACTTAAATACCTATGAGGCAATTATAACTAACACGGTTTGAACCTTGTGAAATCAAAAGCGAACGACACAATGTCCTGCTGCCGTCTTGTGACTGCAGCACTCGGTGGCTTTGGTAACACAACTCTTACGTCACCTATTTTTACACTTTTCAGGTCAGGAATAGAAGGCAACGTAAAGCTAACTAAATTGTTTTTAGATACCTTCTTCCTGTAGTAACTTCTTAGAAGATCCCCATCTGAATCTTGGATTGACAAAATCTTGCCGACATAGTGCACAGGAGAGTCGTTTGCAGCCTTGAACTCCACGAAAACATAATTTTCTTGGCTTTGTTTTTGTAATAATCACGTCTTCATCGCTAACCTCTTCAGAAACATCATCAGCTTCTTGACTCTCATCAGTCTAGTCTAACATTTTCCTTACTCACTTATTATTTTTCTTTTTCCTGTAGTTAATTAATTTTTCTTCTCTTTTCTGTTTTCTCTCTTGAACTATGTTTTCTTTTTCTGTTGTGTGTCCTCTTCTCCCTTGCCAATTTCTTCTTTCACCGGGGCATCTGTTGCAGTCATGCATTTCTCCTCCCTTCTTGGTTTCCTTTTTTTGCCCCCTGCTTCTTTAGCCTTAGGAAGACCTCTGATTTGAAGGGGACCAACCAATGGAGTCTCTCCAGTATTTGCAGCAGAGTCAGACTCATCCTGAGGCTGGGGAGTTGAAGGTTGGGTAGAATCAGACAGAAGATTGCTCAGCTGAGTCTGTTTGCTCCTCATTATTTTTAGTAGTAGGACTTTGTCTTAATGTGACACGCGTCATGATAAAGTCTGCCTATGTGAAAATGTTCCTGTTGAAAGTAACTCTTCCAGGGGCCTTATGACTTAATAGTTTGAGGGAGCGCTGCTCTTCCCAGAGCGTCACGTACAAAACCAGACACTCTGTAAATTGTTTGGGGGAGTTGCAGGATTATTGGCCAAATACGTGCTCACGGCTTGGTCATAGTAGGTTTTGAACGGTTTCAAAAAATCCCACGTCCAGAGGTTGCAGTTTGTGAGTGCAATGAGGTGGAAATGTAAACACAGCTACACCATTTTGTTTTGCAAGATCCAGTGACTCCGCTGAAAAATGGAAATCCACATTCAAGTAGCAAATGAGTTGGGTTCTACTCGGAGGATCCAGTGCACTTAATAAAAGTGAGAAATACCTCCTTGGCATGTACCCTTTTGCATTGGCCAATCCAACAGAACCATAAGTGACCATCCATTTTGGAGAAGCTTTATTGCTTAATTCAGTTTTCTGGGCGTTGTTGGTCTTCTTTCTGTTTTCTTTTTTTCTAGCCCGCCCTTCTGCTTTTAAGGAAGCATTAAAGCGGGCTCATGCAACCGCTCTCGTGTCTGTCTGCCTGTCCGTCGTCCGTGTAAGAGGAAGGAGATGAGCTAGAGGTCTACAAATTTCAGGGTATCTTAGGGGTCACTCCTGGACAACGAAACGCCTGATGCAAATCCTGGCAACCATCCCTACGGGGGTGAAAGGGGGTAACAAAGAAATAGGGGTTGGTCTAAAAAGTAGGAAAACAATAATTGTTTTTATGGTCTCCTAAGGGGTAACTCGTGAAAGTAGAGCCCACGAAATTTTGTCCGTTTGACTCTATCTTGCACCGTTTGGGGAGTGCTTTTTTCGACGAAAATACGGTGAAAATGACCACGTTGCACATAAAGACGTACAAGGAGGCGTCCAATCGTAAAATGCCAGAGGGAGTACCCCCGAAACAACACATTCTGAATCAGGAACTCCCCTCGGATTTGCCGTATCTTTCACTGTTTCAGCCCTAGAGGTGGATATATGGAAAACAATGGCAAAAAGTCCAGTTTTAAGACTGTTTGACAAACAATATACAATCTAGAAACTGCGTGGGTTAATTTTTTGTTAGCAAAGCAGAAGGGTGGGGTGTAGTCGCGGTGTTGCCCCGTTACAGTCTTTTGTCCTGTCCAAGGAGAAAATTTTCAGGGCCGCAGGCCCCCCGCCGGACGCTTTATTTTTACTCAAATATGCAAAGTGATTTACCGGTCACATAATTTATTTGATGATGCACCTAGTAAATCGCGAGACTGAAATGGTCGGGCTGAAGGCCTGACCATCGCCGCCGGCAGGCCAAGCAGGCCCGGCCCCTGCCGGAGTTTCCGGCGCAGCGAAGTAGAACTGGCAACTCCGTTTGGCGGAAGGGTGGGGCTGCTTGTTTACGTATTCTCTCACCATGTTGAAATCTGTAAAAAAAAAATAACAATAATATTATTGTAGATGACGACATTCTTAAAAAGTCAATAACCGGGCACTGGTGTACCGCTTACAACAGTTACAGTGCGCAATCTATTTGAAATGTGGATTTTAGGGTGACAATGTGTACCCCGACAAGCACTACCAGGACCGGCTCCAACCACAAACTAGAAACCCGGCCCCTTTGAGGTTAATGGTAGGGTTCCGGGATCTGGACATGCTGATTTTATCTTCAGAAAGTAGTAAACTACCATGCACAATGCTCGGTATAACCCCAACTATCACCTGATCGGCGTGTCAGTGGAATATTTAGATCTAAAATATGAAAACTTATCTGAATGTGTTCACATTGAAACTTCTCATGTGTGCCGCCGCCAAACCAGTCAAACTCGCACCAACGCCTTGTCGCTATCAAATTCAGGTGTCAAGATTACACTGAAAAGTTGGCTGTGAGACCGAACAAGCTAGCCAGGCCAGCGATTTGACAGTATGTGCCGCTGACAGTTGGTGCCCCACTCTCCCTTACTCATTTACATGAATACAATGAACATAGATAGTTGCTACAGGCTCCGGCGAAGTGGATAAAAGTGTCAGAATAGCGTGCACATGCAAGTGCTTAATAGCCCAGAGAATACGGTTTTGTCAGAATGACCTTTGCAGGCTGTCAGAATCCTTGTGTTTTTGCGTTGTAAGAAATAGTTTCCAAGCATGCTAAAAACTATTTCGTTCTCCAATCCTTAAAAATTCTTCGCAAACTGCAAAGTACGCCGTTTGGCAATTCAAACACTCATTCCAATAATACATTCCCGTAAAGCTGAAAAGAAGAAGAATGCGGGGAACAACAAAACGGAAATCGCTATGCTTTCACATGGTGACTTCCGTTTCCTTGTTCCCCACCTTCTTCTGCATTTTACTGTTACTGGAATGCTTTATTATTTTGCAGTGTGCGTGTAAAAATAAATATTTAATCGGTTAACATTTACTTTTGCTCGAGGATTCATCACTTCAGTTGGGGTAAGTGTGTGTATATTCTGTCCTGCCTGACAGTTGCTTGTTCATGCAGATCGAGTGGCCGGCGAGTGCGTATCTTCCTGAAGTCCCTACTGCAGTTTCACGGCCTCCGTCAGCTCGAGTGATAGCTTCCCAAGAGAGGCGCTCTCCCGTCTCTCGGGCTCGCCTGGTTGTAGCGCGCCGCGGGAGCTCCATCCGGCGTAGCATTCCGAGCCCAACTGCAGCTCAACGCTCAGGGCGTGAGGTAAAGACAACCTCAGGGGAGGTGGTACAGATATTGAACAACCACGTTTCCTAGCCCTTTGCCTTTCGATGAACTACTGTAACTGCTAACCTAGAGGCAGGTTATCTTGCTCACACCAGGCGAGCGACATCAGTGACCTGGAAAGCAAACACCGGGCAAACATTCGTACAAGATGTCAATGTGAACTGTTGGACAAATAGTCCTTCACTGTAAACTGCAATGGTCTGACCATGAGCTAACAGTTAGTTTTCTGAGAAAACCATCTCCTTGGTTCTAACATTTTCTTTGAAACGAGCATAAGCTTACGTGTGATGGGGCTACGATTTATTTTAATTAAAAACAAATATGCGAAAAGAAATGAACTTTTTCACTGTAAATCCGGGGTGTCCAGCAACTGTGCGACTTTATGTGCCCGACCCTAAAATCTGTGCCACTTAAGTCGCACAGCTGCTGGATACTTTGTAGTTTGGCGCTCTTTCCCTGCAGAGGGGCTCATAAGCAGCGGGTTTCCCCAACAACAGGACACCCTACCTAGGCTTGGCCAGGACCCTTGTGCAGGGAAAAGGGCGCCAAACCAAAAGGTGTCAGTAGATGTGCGACTGAAGTCGCACAGGTTTTAGGGTCAGGCTCCTTAAGTCGCACAGTTGCTGGACACCCTGAATTTACAATGAAGAAAATGTTATTATACTTGTTATCATCAACGTTATCATACAAACTCTATCGCATGTAGGCTAGTTTCAAAGAAAATTTTGAAAATTGTATGTTGTCCTCAGAAATTAAATATTCGTTCACGTATGGAATCTTGTCGGCACCTTGATCATTAAACTAACTGGCGCTTGCTAAGAATTTTTGGTTTTTAAGCTGTAGGTGAGTGAGTATTGGTCGAAAGTCGAAAGCGACTGACACACGCTCCTCGCTTGTCAGGCGCGGTATAAAGGGCGTCTCTAGTGAGCCGCCTAAAAGGTAGGCAATTTGTGCTACAAAACCCCTGTATGTAGGCAACCCACAGTGCATCGCCCCCCCTGTCGCCCCCTCCTTATACCGCGCCTGTCGCTCGTTGTCTTCTTCGAAACTTACCCATAACGTGCGTATTCCAGCTCATCCGAGGTCCGAAGGCCAGTCCTCCACACCAGGTTCCTGCTGCTCCTGGTGCTCCCGCCGCTGTGCAGCCCTCACCGGTGAAGCAGACGACACTCGACCACGGCGTTCGACGATCCCCCGTCACGTCCCGGCCCCGGCTGGTTATTGGGCGCAGCGCCTCCATACGGCGCAGTACTCGTAGTCCTGCGGGTCACCCGTCGCTGCCACCGGGCCGCCGACCGAGGGCTCAGGCGTGGCAACGCCAGTCAGTGGTCCGGGCGACCGCTGCTCGTGTCCCTCGCTTGGACCTTCACGGCATGAAAGTGAGGGAAGCCTTAGAAGAGCTGGACGACTTCCTGGATGAAAATATGAGCTTGGGCATCAGACGCGTACTCATCATCACTGGTAGGGGACTCCACAGCAGAGACAACATTCCTGTCATTCGACAAGCTGTCGTGCGTCGTCTCGAAAGCGAGGGAATAAGGTAGGCCACATGAACAATAATTTAAGATTAAAAAAATTTCAACCAGAATTTATCCTAATACGCATGTCAATGATGAGGCTTTGTACCTTATTATTTCAGCATATGGGCATTTGAAGATTGCATTCTCTATTGCTTAGCAGGATTATCTTTGTTTTGCAACTGTTAAAATAAACCAATGATGTTGTGTTACAGATTCTCGTATGGGCGCAAACAGGGGTGTCTCCACATTGATCTATGATTTTATTTCTGTAAGTTACTTTCCCCATCACACTTCAAATCTGTCGGTAGTTTTTGCGACATCGAATTAAAGCAAACGTTTTCCAATTTCACTTCAAATTGTAGTGTATTACCCGTGAAATCTTTTACATATATGTTACATACATGTGCACACATGTATGTCGCCCACGCTTTGAGCTTGTATGTGCCATACATGGCACTTGTATAGGGACATGTATGTGACAGCCATACATGTGACATACATGTCACAAGGGCGTGCGGGGAAAAAAAGAATAAAAAGAAGAATAAACAAATTAAATAAATAATTTTGGCT